GTTAATCTAATTTTTACGTTATGTTACATGACTAAAAAATAAGTAGATTTATGTATACCAAAATTTTGAGAATAAATTTTTTTAACAAATAATTAGTTAAATTTGACTGTTTAATTAGTTGTTTTATACTAAAAATTAGTTACTTTTTACTAATTGAAATAGGACCAATACGTTCTCGATTTTACTGTTGATTAGTAGTTTTCAATTAATTCAGATTTAGAGAGAAGCAAAATATTTTTTATTGGGTCGGTTTGGTCACCAGAGGTCATTGAAGTCAAGACCAATAAAAAATTTTTTTGTTAATCGGCGGACAAGCTACCCCGATAAAAAAATAAGAAAATGCGAGCGATTAAAAAAACAAATTTTAAAGGGGCTTTTTTGAATAGTTTTTGAATTGTAGCTAAAAATTAAAAAGAAACAGGTAATTGGATTCAGCCTGCTTAAAGGATTTAATGACCAATTTAACCCTATTTCAACCCCCCTAGCCAATGTTACCTTCCATGTTTACTTTAGAATTTCTTTTTCTACCGGCTGTTATAAATTTCTGATCACCGCCTTCCCTAGATGTGCAAGGTGCTTTATAACGATGCACCCTAACGCTGCCATCACATTATCTTCGTGCATAAGGTTACGTTTTATTTTTTTATTAAAAACCCTTGGCGATCCCAAAATGAAACTTACAGGACACGTTCAGCACATTAGCCCTAACATTTAGAAAAATTTTGAAAAAAATTAAAGGTGCCGTTTTTCAAAAATGGATTTTTAATTTTTGAAATTTTCAGAAAAAATTTATTTTTCACTATTTTTTGTGTGTGTTAATTTTAATCAAAAATACACTTCAAACGAAAGAATTTCTTTGTTCAAAATCTAAAATCGGTTAATTAGAACTAAAGTTACATAACTTAAAAAAAAAGTGAAAAAATTTTCAAAATGCCATATTTTCGTTAATTTTTAAAATTTTGAAAAAAATGTTTGGCGAAGATGTTATTCACTGCTAAAGTAATAAATTCACAAAAGTACAGCCAAATCCCATTTAATCAAAAAAATTAGTGTGATAAACTGGCGTGGAATCCACCATGTGTTTCTTAAATTATTAAGAGAGTTAAATATATTTCAACTTTCTTTTTTTAAATTAAAGTTACACAACAAAGAATGAAAAGTGCGCCAAGTAACTCTAGTCTCCCCTATTATATTGTGTGTTTCGTTTTAAGCATGAAATTTTGTTTTAATAAATAATATAATTCTTTATAATAAGAATCAGAAATAATTCTGAGTTCGGTTTTTAAATTAAATTTTAAATAATGTTTTATTAAAAATATAATTGAACTCTAATATATTTTTAACTTTTATTTACCTGATATTGGTCTACAATTAATATATATTAATAATAATAATAATAATAATAATAATAATAATAAATTTTCTAGGTTATGATCCACATTCGTATGAACGTTCACTTATACTGTACTTCTGTCTTATCAATTCTTTTGAAACACCTGTTTTAATATTTTCTAAAGCATCAAGCTTTGTTTTGATACGCATACAGGTACGCTTATATACAAGCAAATCTTTGCATTTAAGACGAACAGTATTAAGATTGTGGCAAATAAGTTTGATGTTGAATAATCGAATTATTCCAAAGGAAAACTATTTCAAATATGAAATATAGCAAATTAAAAATGTATCTAAAATACGCGATTGCGTCGAATAAAAATTATTTTAGATTAACGTTACAGTCCAAAAAGGGAAAAAAATTGTTATTTAAAATTTTGAATTTTAAAAAGTACTTTTATGAAAAGGCCCATCTTTTTCTCCTTAGACATTTTTTTATGAAACTAATATTTTAAATAATAAATACTAAAAACTGAGAAATCTTGATTTACAAATTTAATTAATCGTACTTTGAATTCTTACTGGAACTTACAATTTTTTAAGAAAAAAATCAGTTTTTTTTTAAATTGCCGCCTTCCATGACATTTTAGCATAAAAATAGTTATTATAAAAAAGAAAGTATATAACATTCTGAGTAATTTGATAAAAAAATGAACCCTGTAGCTCAAAAATTGACCGAGATATAGCTTCCGCAAAAAACCCATTTTTTCGAGATTTTAGCCAAAATTAGGTATTTTTCAGTTTTTCCAATATAGCTTTAAAACAAATGATTTTTTGAAAAAATGACCAACAGAAAGTTAAAGCTGACAAAATTCCTGACAATTTGCAAAAAAGAACAATGCAAATAGCTCTAATAGTTTCAGAGATACAGTCTCTCAAAGTTGACCCTTTTGAGATTTTTTTTTTATAATAACTATTTTTACGCTAAAATGACTTGAAGCATTGCACCTTATAAGCACCTCAACCGTTGAAGACAGATATGAACCTCTACCAAGTTTACGATCTCATTTCTCAATGAAATGAATTTAACTTAAACAAATTCAAATAACTTTTATTTTCAACAGTTTCTAAATCCAGGTTGAACTTAGACAATAACATTATCTATTTATGAAAAATTTTCTATTTTCAAAATTCGATATAAAAGACGTACGTAATAAGACGGACATCTTAAAGAAATATAATGGTCAAGATATAGAACATTCTTACGACGTCTCAAAGACGTAATTTTGTCAAAATCCAAAAGACGTCTGCAAAAAGACATCCTTAGGATGTTTTTTAAGGGGTTAGGTGGGTTTCAATTTTAGAAATTTTTTTTTGCTTAAAAAATAGTTCAATATGTCCAGAATATTGTCCTAAAATTCCAAATCGATTGGAGTAATATTATGAGATACAGCCTTCGGAAGTACCCTCTGCGCGGTATATCAGCCTGGCACGTCGGAGGTAAACTGGACACAGCTCCTTAGCTATTGTGTTTCTGTCTCTCTTGCTTGTTCACACTTTCTAAGGACAACTAGTTGCAAATATTTTATTTGCTATATTGCGCTGGAATCGACCCTTTTATGTAATTTAAAACAACACATTTTTTCTGCCTGTTATTTTTCTTTAAAACTTTAATCGCGTTTTCCCGGAACGCTGTTTTTGAATTCGATTGTCACAATTTCTCGAAAAGTTATTAACTAATTTTGTTCATATATGGCATACTTCTTCAAAATAACATTATCTCGTGCTTGAACGAAGAAATTTATTTTTTATGAATCCTAACCAACTTTACATGCTAAAAAGTGGTGAAAATTTGACCCAAAAATGGCATTTTTTCAAAAAAATGTCGCCAAAAATTCAAATTTTAATTTTTTGTTTTCCTTTGTTTAAGCACGAGCTTTTGAGTTATACTAACAGAAAGAATTTGATTTCTTAAATTTAGATGATTCTATCATGACTTATGTTGACAAACGCAAACCTATACTATTTTTTGTAAGAGTCACAGAAGAAGAAGTCTTAATGGCTTAATTTTTATTATTTTTTGACAAAAATTTCAGAAAGTACTCTTGAAATGTGTCCCTTTGATGAGGAAAAAGTTTAAATAAAATATTCCATTTTATCTTTTAGAAAAAAATTCGTAAAAATATGCTTTTTTTGGCCTGCGAAACCCGCACCTAATCCCTTAAACAAGTGTGCTCACTGGGAATGCTTTAAAAATTCATATAAATATACTAATTAATTTTCGGAATAATGAAAAAAGTGTATAAAATTTAGCAATGGAAAATAATAAATATAATGGAAGATGTTGAATTTTACAATAATCACCAGTAATGTTTAAACCAATTACAATTAACCTTTTCCATATGGATGACAATTTTTTTTTAATTTTTCGTAAAGTGAAACTATATTCCCCTATATAGAAAATTAAAAAAGGTAATATTTGATTATTTTATCAGTTTTTTATTTTTGGAAATTTGACTGTTTGAAAAAATTGAAAATTTTCAAAATCAAACTTATGATTGATTGTTCAGAACTATGAAAAAAGTACTTTAAAAAATTGACAATGAAAAATAATAGATATTACGAGAAAGGTTATGATTATTTTATTTGTTCGAAAATTTCGATTTGTTAAAGGATATAATTTAAAGGACTTTTCTTTCATGATAATAGAAAAATTTGTAGCGAATGAAAAAATGTTTGTTTGAACTGAAAAATCTTATTCAATTCCTACAGCGTTAAAATCGACTAAATATAATTACAAGTGGATTTTTCACTTACTTTTAGTGAAATTTTACTTATTTCAAGTAATTAATATACATTTATTCAACGAGAAAGCAATTTATAACTTATAATAAGTGGAATTTTATTTATTCAGATTTAGAGAGCAAGCTTCAAAGCAGAAGTAATATTTCCATAAGAATATAAAGCAACAAAATTTTAAAGTCGAAAAAGAATAGAGTTCAAATTGCTGTAAACATTACCTACTCTATGAACAATTATAAATATTGCACAGAAATGTTAGAATATTGAATTTATTTAGATTGATGAGAGTAGCGCAAGTGGTTTCCATAAACATGTTTGGTATTATTTACAAAAGGACAATGTAATTATAATTGAATCAAAATCGTAAATAATAATAATAGTAATTAGAATTTACATTTCGTACTATATATTTTTATACTTTTCCTAAAATTCAGATTTGTAGACAAGATTTTAATAGTAATTTATTGCGAAAAATAGTGAGAGTTTAATGGGTAAGTATTGAACATTGGTTGAAAAATGTGGAAATCAAAGTGAATCTCTTGAAATGGAATGCCCCATATATATTTTGCTTTTTGTTAGTCGAGTGTTATAAATGTTGTGAATCGTATAGCATAGCAGTGTTGAACTGCGCTTGTGGTTGCGGCACGCATTAATTTCACATAGCGGATAAGGTTGGAAGGGTGGGGGCAAACTACTACGCTGCGTAGTCTAAAACTTTAGGTTCGATGCGAATGAGAAAGACAGAGAGGTTGTTAAAGAGTCTAAATTCTAAACAGGGGAATGTATTAGAAAGAGAAAGAGAGTATATTTGATATTCCCCTTTTATTTAGAGACGAAGAACGACGAGAAACAGACGGAGACACTAGAAGAATATAGGAAAACGCCTAACCTTTAGGACGTCAGTTCGACTTGATTCAGGCTTTGAAACCGGGTTAGTTCTCATTCAGCTAGTTTCTATTTTGCAGTTTTCTAGTTTCTTACGCGTATTCGTCACGTTTACTTGATAACTTATAATATTTATTCCAACAGAGCACATCGTACTTTGAATGATACTCGTACTTATATATCCAAATGCATTGTTTACAATATTTACTGTTTTTATTATGAAATCAAATGACGCCTTCAAGTTTATTATTAAGACATTCCTTCTTCTGGATTTTGACGAAGGATAAATATATTAGAAATTATAAACCAGTGAAAGAAAGTTATTTAATATCTAGGAAATAAAGTAAATGGACAATACTAGTTTCATGTGTTCCAGTGCGTGGTGCATCGATCCGTTATTTCCTTTTCGCGCCTTTCGCATCTCTCTCTTTTTACCCTTATAAATCTCACGTAAAATATATCCGGGAACATCACGTGGCCTCATTATTTTTCTCAATGTAAGTGAAAACAAATTTTAATATTATCATATTATTATTTATTTGCTTTCATTGCTACACTGTAGAAAGCTTTCATATGACTTTACCTCTTTCATAAAGGGTCCTAATTAAAACCTTCTCTAAAAGTAACAAAACTAACTTGAAATGTTATTTAACACTATAAAAAATAAGATTGAGTATGTGAGTAAAAACTTCCGAATGTTTCTTTTTTTACAAGATATTTATCATTTGCAAAATTCATTTTTTATATTGTAGCACTTAATTATTGCAAATCAAATTTTTGATTGGGTAATATTAATTTAAAATTAAATTTATTATTATTAAATTGAATAAATAAATAATAAATTTTATTCAATAATATATTGAGAGTTGATTAAAAGCAAACTGTTGATCTGTTACTTTTTCTATGTTTTGAGGTTATGGAAGCTCCCTTGTCTTGCATAAATTTTAAGGTTATGTTCCTCCTTTGCGGAGACTGGTATATGTAATTTGCCTCAGATAATTTGCATTATTTTTTATAGTAATTTTTCATGTATTTTACATCTCGAGTTCATTACAACAAAGCATTTTTATGTGAACGGAGGTAATATACGTAACACAAGCATGATTTTAAAAAGTCAGAAACAGTTCCGAAAAATTGTGGTGACTAGAAGTAAAAATTCGAGTGGTTTTTCTCTATCCACCATTCTCCTCCAAGGCCATACACATATACATAATCTTTTGACATATATTTGAACGACACTGTTTACGCATTTCTCCCCTCCTCACCTCTTAATCTAACACTTACTTGATACTAACACTAATAACCCAGGTAGAAATTTCAAATTGAGTAAAATGGCTACACAATGGGCATTTTAACAATTTAACTGTGTAAAATAATAAACATTACAGAATTTCATTTTATCACAATTGAAAGACTCACTGATGTACGCTTAAATTTCAATCAAAAGTTAAGTAAAACACGTGAACGATTTTCGTTGAAAGAAAAAAACAATAGGTCGATTCCCATATTCAGAATAATTATTCTTAAATTGCCTCTACATCTTCTATTCTTCTTCTACCAACAGTTCGAAGTTTTCGCATAAAACTTTTTAAATATTACAAAGCTGCGCTACACTGAAAAAAATAGTATTGAATCAAGAAAATTTTACTTGCTTCAAGTAAACCGTGGAATTGAATAGGGACAAGTCAATTACGGCATTGGTTCAAGTAAACGATTGTCTTGAGATAGTATATTTGGGACGAGATTATTATATTCTTGATCCAAGAAAATATGGAATTCGTCTAAGAAGTTTATTGACTTCTAAGAAATGTAAAATATATTAAGTCAAGATCATATATATACATTAACTCAAGAAAATATTTTCTTGACTTGAGAAAACTTGTGGAGTTCAACCAAAAAAATATTTTTCCAATACAAGTAAATATTTACTTGAATTTACCCCCCCCCCCCTCCTACATCCCTTCCTTATCCCACCATGTCTAATTCTTAAGTCAAAAATTTTTATTTATTATTAACATTCATATTTTTTATTATTTATTTAAATAATGTTTATTTTACATACATATTTATATTTAATTAATACTTAACACAACTAAAACAAGTATACCTTGAATGAAAATTTTTCACGGTCCGAGGAACTGAACCCGAGTTGGGCGCACCAAAGGCAGTAACGTAGACCACTATGCCATCCTGACTCAATTGATGGTTTTCAAAAACTCCTATTTAAGTTTCACATCCATTTGGAGAGAAATATTTTCTTGGATCAAGAATACGGGATTTGTATTAAGTAAAAAATTAATTCAAAGCAAATGAATAAAACTATTTGATTCAAGAAATGAAAAATCTTCAGACAATATTTTATTATTTTGCTTAAGAACATAATATTCTTGATTGAATACTTTTTGGTACTTCGGGAAAATAAAATATTGGGTTGCGATAATAACATATTTACTTCTGCCAAATACTTAATTCTTAATTCAAGAACTATGCGTTAATCAAGTTAAAACAAGTATTTACTTATATTAATATTCGCATTTTCTTGACTCAAGACTATATTAGCGTTGAATTAAATAAAAAATATTTTCAAGGAAACAAAAAAATGATTTCATTCAAGATTCATTCACTATTTCAACTGAAAAAATAAATTATTTCATTTAAGATAATATAACATTATTTCTAGAAATTGAATGTTCTTGAAACAATATAATATGAAAATGCTTAAAGTATATTAAACACTTGGATTGATAAATGTTTAATTCAAACAATATAAATTTTAATCAAGTTGAAAAAAGTATTTATTTCTATTAATCTTTCCATTTTCTTGGATCAAGACTATGAGTATTAGATTAAGTAAAAAGTTGTTTTGAAGGAAACAACAAAACGATTTGACCCAAGAAAATAAAATACTCAACGTAAATCACTTGACATGAGAAAATAATATTCTTGACTCAATACTTTTTCGGTTCTTGACGCAGGTAAAACAGTTCGCTTGAAACAGTAAGATATATTTACTTATATGAAACTCATATTTTCTTATTTCAAGAACATTGCTCAATGCTCAAAATTACTTGACTCAAGAAAATAAATTTCTTCCAATAAGAAAATATCGTCTTGTTTCAAGTAAATGCATTAACTTGATTCAATTAACTTTTTTTTTCAGTGCAAAGCACCAAATTACTAACAGCTAATTATTCCGTGAAGCAAACAAAATCAAAATAGTTGCCAAAGATGCGCATAAGTAAAACAATACTTCTCTCACTTTCACTTTTCAAAAAAAAATTTTGTTTTCGAGATATTCCTATAGGCACAACTTACCCCCGGCACTTTCAGCCCCGGTCTCCCCTAAATATTTATTTGATAATAGTCAAGCAACCGCCCGCGTAAAAATGAAAGTATGGGGAAAATAAGGGGAAGTATGGGGAAAGTATGGATACCGATCACTTCCCATACTTTCGTATGCACAATAAAAAATGTCCAGAGTATGGGGAAAGTATGGGAAGAGTATGAGATGCAAAAATTTACCATATAGGAGTATGGTAGGCAAAACTTTTTAAATTACTCAAAAAAAATTTTTTTTTTTCTAAAATTTTAAACTTTTGGCAAAAACCCTTTAAATTTCAAAGTTTTGAAAAAGTATGCGGAAAGTATGGGAAGAGTATGGGATGCGAAAATTATCTTTTTTTTCAAAAATTAACTTTTTTCGTCGAGTTTTTAAAAATTTCAAAATTTTTGGCAAAGTCCTTTTAAAAAAAGAAGAAATTTTTTTAAAAAAAAACTTAGTTTTTTTCGTAAAATTTCTCAAATTTCAAAGTTTTTAAAAAGTATGGGGAAATTATGGGAAAAGTATTTTCTTTTTTTAAAAGACTTCGCTAAAAGTTTGAAATTTTTAAAAATTCGACAAAAAAAGTGTAGGAGAAATTTGATGAAAAAAACTAGGGTAAGTTCGGGGGAGTTGGCCATGCGGGAGAGATGGCCAATTCAAATATTTTATAGAATTTGCTGCTAGGTATCGCTTATTAAAGATTAATTCGCTTTGTTTTATGGCAAAACACAATTAAAAGAAAAAACTTCAGAATAATATTGAAAAAGTAAGTAAAAAACTGATTTGTTATTTTGACTAGTTCTGAAAAAAAGTGAAGAGTTTTCATTTCTCACTGGTGTTATGTTATTTTATAGAATAATTTTGAATTTCATGTTTTTTTGTAAAGTGCATGACCCAAGCTTTATCATAACTTTATATTTATTCAAAAAATTTATTTATTTATTTATTTAAATTTTAGTTGTGTCAATTTGTCTCCTGACATTAGGAGAGATGGCCATGTTTTTTCGAGGTGAGATGGCCATACTGTTTAAGTTATTGGCACCCTTGAGATTCGTGTGTTCGCTAAAAAAACATTAATTCTGCGGCAAATGACATTTTTTATGACATATATTACAACAAGACACTCCAAAAAAGATTTTCAAATTTAAATATGATCAGATAAAATAATCACTATTGTGTAATTAAATCTTAAAAACGTTTATAAACAATCATAACACAGGTCTACAAAATAACACTTTTTTATATATATAGCGGAGTGGTTTCCAATGTGTTTTTGTGTGATGAACACGATCCCGGGTTCCAAAATTGCGTATCACGTCAGGATTTTGAGTAAAATGGTCGTAAAGTCTCCAAAAACTGTGTTTTTGAGTGTTTACAGTATTTTTTCTCCTTAACCTGACGTACTAGAGACTTCTATATAGGCTTAAAGTATTTAAAACGTACATTTTAAGACCCATATGCGGATAATAAAAAAATTTTGAAATTTTGAAAAAATGAGGGTAATGACCCCAAAAATCTTTTTAAGTGACTTGAACCTAATTTTTTTTTAAATTCAATTTTTTTTATCTTGCGCATATCTGTCTTAAAATGTAAGATATAAACTTAATTTAAGCCTATATAGAAGTCTCTATCACGTCAGGTTAAGGAGTAAAAAAATATTGAAAATCCTCAAAAACACGGTTTTTGGATACTTTACCCCCACTTTACTCAAAATCCTGACGTAATACGCAATTTTGGAACCCGGAATCGTGTTCAGAACATAAAAATACATTGGAAACCACTCTGATATCTCAAAAAAATACCTTGTAGTCTTGTTGTGTTGGTGAGACAGACAGACAGACAGACAGACAGACAGACAGACAGACAGACAGCGCTTATGAAAATTGCACTGAATTTAATAATAAATGTTCGAAATGTGGTCAGAAGAAGAAAAGAAGACATTCATCACTTTAAATTAAGAATTTTGATAAAGCGAGAAACCAAAGAATGATTTTAAAGTATTGTCCATATCTCCCGTACGCCTATAGCCATCTCCCCCGTACATTCCGGGAGAGATGGCCAAACGCGTTTTTTAAAAAATATTAATTTTAAGATTGTTTGCATTTAAAAAATTTCTCATTTCTATTATTTTTTGTAAGTTAAATGTTCAATGTTTAATTAGCAATAAAAGTTAAT